GCAGCCAGCATTAATTAATTCCAGCTCTACACCTGCATCAATACGACTTAAAGCTACTTGTTAACTAATAACCAAACAGCTGCAGAATGAGCCAGCGGTTGTAAAGCGTGACTAAAGCAGCCAGTCTGCTAATTTCTGCCAGAGTTACTTCTATACTTCATTAACAGATAGAAGCATCTCTATACCTACTAATTTATACACTGTCCAAGTTCAGTTTTCATATATTTGGCTGTCTTTCTATAGTCTGCAGAGATAACGAGAGGATGCGTGGGATGTGAAAAGGAGCATATGTAAAAATCCTTTTTTTTAAAAAAAGAAGTGAGAATGACAGCATGATCTGTGAGTGTGCAAGAAAATACCACCCTGAAGATCAACCCAAGTAGAAGCTCCTCTTGATACATATTTGATTTAAAAACTGTCTTTTCTCTGCATTTATCATGAGCGCCTTTGGGCAAAAAAAAAAAAGCGAACAAGTCAGTAGAAGACCAGAGGTGACTGGAGTGCTGGTTGAAGCAGAAAGAAAGTCACAAGTTGTTGTAGAGCAGCTGCACAAATATACGAAGGAAATACAGGAGGGATCAGGGGAGATGTGCAGCCATGACGGAGGATGGCAGCTATATAACCTAAATGAAATCAAAACTGTTTACTGTGGGTGTGTTGTGTGTTTTGCCACCGGTCGGCAGGAAATTCAACAATTTGTTGACGCCGTTAAACATAAACTGGTGCTTTTGCAGTTTGTTGTACCGCGTTATAGACACATGAAATATGCAATAATGCAGATGGGTAAAGGAATAGAGGCTCGAAACTGTAATTAAATCTAAGCTAAATTAGTGTTGGAGGCTCAGTGGTGGAAGCACAGTTGGTCAGAGATGGGTATTTTTGGCCATACGATTTCATGCCAGTCAGAGCCGGATAAATATTAGGAAGATGAGGAGGAGGAAGAGGAGGAGGAGGAGGAATACATTTTTAAGGAAGCCTAATGCGTGATAAATTTAAAAAAAATACTGAACTCTGATCCAAACATGTGTTTTTGCTGGACAAACCGTATGTGTCAATAAGTTATGACTGACCTTTCCAGAGAGAGAGTAGATAATGTAGAGCTAAATGTCAAGTCTGGGGGAAAAAAATGGACGAAAAAGGCACATTTTTTACATTTGAAAACCAGGAAAGGTTGTCACATAACCAGACTGGCATCTGTAATGTGTAAGATCATGGAGAAGAATGTAAATGATCACAAGCCAGAGAGGCCAGCTTGGCTCATTGTGGGGTTTTTGTTGTGATTTACTGCAGAAGACACTGAAGGCAAAGTGTGAATTATGTGCTGTTCCATATTTACAATAGAATTAAGGTTCACACGATCGCACAGGGCATCAAGATGTGCAACATATTTATGCAAAAGAGTAAACAAGAAGCACAGCAAGTTAAAATGTAGACCTGGGGCTGAGCGAGGTGGAGAAAGGCCACGCAACCTGCAGGCCCTGCATTAAATGAGATATAAATGTTTAAGGCGTAGATATGATTAAGAAGGACGACTGTGGGAAAGCAACGTATGAGGAGGTTAAAAGTCCTGCACCTGCGCTTTTTAAACGAATGGATTTCTAATGATTGTTGTCGGGTCGTGTCGAGATGAGCCGGTGTTTTCTCGCGTCTTTGGTCGAGCATTTCAGAGCTTTTAGTGGAACTGTACTGAGTGGGCAGCGTAGGGGATGATATTTTTAAAGACTGAAGCAGGCGTGGAGAGCTCTGAGACTGTTGATATAGTAGGTAAGGCAGCAAAGTGAGATGAGTGGATTTGAAATCTGCCTTAAAGGGATGTGAAAGCGATATATATATATATATTGTTGTGGGGGGGGAAGCAACATATTGATGGCAGAGGGAGTGGGAGGAGAGTAGGCTATGCCATTTTTCAGCAAGGGGACACATTTTCGAGGTGATAAAGACAGCCAAGACCGGGACTGCTGTTTGGTCATGCTATATAAGGAGTTTAGCTCAGGCTGAAAAGCATTAATGGCTGTAATTGCAAACATGAGTCATCACATCCTGATGGAGTGTTTAAAATATAGGACAGCAGGTGTAACGCTGCAGATTTATTGTGAAACATCAGAGCACCGCTGACAGGTCTGTGCTTCATTTCGCTCGAGCACGAGGCACCTGAACGCTGCTATTTCGGCGGATAACTCATTCAGGACATTACAATTACACTCACTCTTCTGAGAAGGCTGTCCAAAAGACTGTGGGAGCCGGCTGCCGATTTTTGCTCCAATTTAGCTGCAAGGTCAGGCACTGATGTTGGAAAGAAGGTCCAGAACTCGGCGCAGACAAGGTCGAAGCCAGAAAATTCAAAATAATTGGAGCACTTATTAACAGTTGGATATATTTTTCTGAAAAACTCGATTTTTTTGTCCCACACAAAAATATAACTGGCCATGAAAGTAACTGCTCTTGATATGCTGAACTATTTTATATCTTTTTTATCACCCTCGTCCTCCCCACCGGGGTACCTGCAGACCCCAGAGGCGCTTTTTCTCATGTCTTTTATGTTTGTCATTGTCACCTATCATTCCAATTTTTCATGACTTTGTTAATGATTTTGCTCCCATTGACTTCATACCATTGGCTTCTGGTTTAATTAGTGCTTTTTAAAAGTTCCAATGTATTCGGGTCCCAGGGCACCACAAGTCAAAAGCACCCAATTCTGTCCACAGATGGAACTATTTACTGAGTTCATGTTTGCCGTGGGTCCTAATTTAAAGTATCACACACTGTCAGGGGAATATAGGCACTCTGTCAGTCATTCTGAAGGACACAGTTTCTTCATGTGCTCTGTAGACGACCTTAAACACTGCTCTTCCTAAAATAAAATAAAGTTCAGAGTCATACATGCAATATATAATTTCAGAATAAACTGATTTATGACCGTTACATTAAATGGTGAAGTTTTATTATACAAGATTGGACTGAAATAGTATGTCATTCATATGACTGACATGCAGTGACAGCATGATCAGGACGCTGTGTCCTGATAATATCGCGATAATGGAAAACATCAGTGTTGTATTTTTAGGCGACAATATCAAGCAGGTCAAGACTGGCCAGATTAAGAGTTGCTGAAATTTGGAGATGTATAAATATAACACCAGTGATGCTTGCTTGAAATGACTAAAAATGAAATAATTCTTGAATTAAATGATGATAAATAAGGTTTTGAGTGTAAATGTGGATTGTACTGGAGATAAAAGTTTCAATTTTTATTATAGAAAAGTGGCTTATTTTATATATTATGCAAATTAACTGTAACTTTTCTTAAAATACTAATAATCTTTTCTTTCAGATGACATTAAGTACTTGGCTAATAATGTTTTGAGAAGGAATTCGTTCATATTTTCCTATGATGGCTAGTTCTTAAGCCCCCCCCAGACATACACTCCTTTCCATTAATGCGCTGGCTTCATGTCTGAATGAACACGACGCTCACCTTTCTGTAGAGGTTGGAAACCCACTAGGTCAAAGGTAGGAACATTTCTGTATTAGTTTGCATTAACAGAGAGGCACGTCAAGTACAACAAGTTGTGTGGAGTAATTTTAAGAAGGCTTTTTTCCACATTTCAGGACCAACATTAATCCAAAAACATCAAAGAATTCAAAAACTACCAAAACCAGGAAACACCTTTCTCCTCCTCTTTGCTGAACAATTTCATATCTCATTGGAAGCAAACTGAAACTAACAGGTCATATGAAGGATACTTAACAATAATAGTTTTGTTTTGTTAATTTATTTGTTTTAGAAAACACTAGCAGGAGCTGGAGTTCAGTGTGTTGACGCTTTCCTTTGAGTTTATTCTACACTTGCAGCAGCAGACAGCAGCAGAGTCTATATGACTGTCTCCAGCAGAGACTTGTGCACATTTATACACAACACAACAGCAGTAACTTCATTAATTAGCTGTAATCATAACTTATCTTCGACGTGGAGACGAAGTCAATTAGGGTCAAACAGTAAGTCATGCTGTGTACTTTTCTTTTTTGCAGGTAAACAATTTCCTGCATTGTCAGGTTGACTTCTGACTTTTCATTTTACTGTTGTTGAAGTAATAGATTGTCATTACACATGGAAATCGAGAGAAAAAAAAACAGATTGGTTAATTGTTAGTTTATTCTTGTTGTCCCCAGATAGTAGTCCTTGTGTTGGCGGATGAGCTCTGAATGATTTTTAAGTAGTTGAAGACTTCATTTGCAAAAACAGATAACTCCATTTTTGTAATTTTTTTTATGTTGTTTGCTTGAGATGATTTCAATCAAACTGAAGCTGGGTGGATTTGACTCAGTAGAAATGACAAAAATAGAGATAACTTAAGTTTGACTGGTGTTGTCTCAGGTAAATGATGGAAAAGTGGGTTTTCTGAAGGTTTGTGAAGACGGAGTTATCTGTTTTTGCAAATAAACTCTTCAGTTACTGTTAAACTGAGTCTAAGTTATAACCAAACTCTGTAATATGGTAGTTGCTTTCCTTTAAAACTGACTGATGCAGTAAAAACTTAACTACCGTTTCTATCCTAACCCCCTAAAAAAATCGAATTAAATTAAAAAATAAAAAATAAAAAACTATATACACCCACGTACACACACACAGGGTTTAGTCAGCAGCTCTAACTCATACCATCATTTCCCAGACTGCACTGTTTGCGGCACTATTCATTACAAACGCCTTCAGGCAGGAATGCACCAAAGAGTTGAGCCTGCTGCAAAAACCAACGAAGAAGAAGCGATAACTTAGAAAATGCTGCCCTGAGTGTTGCCTTACAGGCAGCGCGTCGTCGCATGTGAGCCATAAATTCCACGTCTTTTGCCAAAATTTCCAGCCCTATATATCAGTAACTGACATTAACATCACTTTAACGGACGAAACTTGCTGTTCACTTTGCTTTTCGGAATAAAGTTTTGCCTGAAAGTCTTTTATGAGGGTAAAATAGCTCCCTCTCTCCCTCAGGTCATCATTTTTTTTTTTCTTTTTTTTGACTCATGTTGTGTTGTCAGACAGAGACACAGAAGGAGAAAACGTGGACCGTGTGCTTAACCTACTTTACCTCTACTAACCGCGTTGACAGTCAGTCGGCGTTAGTTAGCTCGTTAACACGTAGCCGAAGCGATATAGGTTGAAACATGACGGAACAGTCCTCGTTGTTACTACGTAAACAATTAGCAGGTAAGTTAGCTAACTGTTGCTAACGGGCTTGAATCGCTAGCATTTGCACTTTGTATTTCCTCGTATGTTGTCGGTGGCGCGGCGGCAGCGGCACAGTTTGATTCGGCTGTTGTTGTATTTGTTTAGTACGTGTTTTTAACCAACAGTTAAACGACAAGACAGCTGAAATACACGTGTGTAGACGGCGTGCCAGACAGCTGTTAGCCGGGGTTATGAGTGCTCGGGTGGCTAGCTCCTCTTGCTCAATAAGTCCTATTTCTACACCGCCACCCACGCCGCTGCATGTGCCTGTTCTTTCAGCCTCACGATGTAGTTTGTCAGCAGCTCACTTGACTTGAATGTTTCACACGTTTCAGAGCTCAACAAGAACCCGGTGGAAGGCTTTTCTGCGGGGCTAGTGGACGACGATGACATCTATCAGTGGGAAGTGGTCGTCATTGGACCTCAGGACACGTTATTGTGAGTGAACTTGTCAGCTGAATTAAGTTTTCACTGAAATCCTGGATGCACATGTTGACACTCATTCTCTCATCATTTGCAGTGAAGGAGGTTTTTTCAAAGCCACCCTAACGTTTCCCCGGGACTATCCTCTGAGGCCTCCCAAGATGAAGTTTATCACAGAAATCTGGCATCCAAATGGTGAGAACAAAGTGTTTACAGTGTTTGACTTTGTCGTTAGGTTATGTGTGCTAATATTGCTGCTTAGTGAAACCTTGTGCTATTGCCAAAGTCATACAATCATATTCTGTTAATAATAGACTGATAACAGGTAACTCCACCTTCACAAACCTTCAGGAAACCCACTTCTCCATCATCCACCTGAGACAATATCAATCAAACTGAAGTTATCACTATTCTTGTCATGTCATTTCTTTTTTCTTTAACGTTTTTATTTAGTCAAATTTGTCATATATAAAAAGAACACACACCATGACAGAACAAAACATATTAGGGGCACGTCAAATTTGAAGATAATGACAATATATTTCCTGTTAGTGTCCATCAGTGTTGAAAAAAGTCACCAGAGGATAGCGTGAGATACAAACCTCGTCCATTTCTCCCACTTCTTAGCAAAGGATGCTCCTTTAAGTCTGAGAGAGAAAGTCATTTTTTCCATTTTGTATATTCCTGTTTCTGTTTCCATCCAGTCATTGTGGTTGGGGGACTCAGGTTTATACCATCTCCGTGTTATACTTCTTCTTTTTTTTAGAACCTATGAGCAGTTTCTTACAAAGATGCCGGTCAGTTTTTTATAATAACACTCGTCTTGTCATTTCTACGGAGTCAAATCCACTCGACTTCAGTTTTATTGATATTGTCTCAAGCAAACAATAACAACAAAATAAGTTTTCTGAAAATCTACAAAAATGATCTGTTTTTGCAAATGAACTCTTCATTTGTTCAGGGTCGACACTGAAACCGGTTATTAGTAATCTGATAATTGGAACTGACAAATTAAAATGGAACTCCTCCAGTCCAGGTAATTAGAATAACACAACCTCCGATACAAAACTTTGCCAGACATGTTTGTTTATTTCTGTTTTCCGTGCTTTCAGTTAAACAAGAAATCTATAACTATAGACCAGAACGTATTACAAATAGAGAGGTAAAAAAAAAAGGAGCGTATTTTTAAATACCGGTAGTTAAATTTCCCTGGTTAAAAAAGTAACAATACTTAATAATCCTAATTCTAATAATAACCATAAATTGATGAAAGTCGATATTTTGGTAGTGATCAGCTGATAATTGGTCGATCTCTCGTTAACGAGTATCTTCAGTCAACTACTTCTAGAGCAGTGGTTCTCAAACTGGGAGTTGGATGGGGGTCCCAAGATCATTTCAGAGGGTCGCCAAATCATTTAAAAAAAAAAAAAAATAAAGCCTGCATTTATCAAATAAATGTGTATCAGGGCTGTCAGAATTAAAGGTGTACACTTCTTCCCACTCCTTTTTCAAACTGTTATGATGGGATTATGCCATATTATTATTCTTTTCTCCTCTTTTTAAAATTATTTTCTTTTGTTTTTCGTATTTCTTTTCCCTCTCATTTGTTCAAAATAAATTCAATTCATTCAAAAGACAGTTAACGTGTTAAAGAGATGAATCTGTGGAATTAACACATTAATTTTTAACTCATTAATGCATCAACAACAAAGTTATTACTCATGCCATATTAAAAATTCAAACTGGGGGTCACGAACACAAACCTGTGTTATCTTGGGGCTCAAAAAGTTTGAGCATGGCTGTTCTAGAGGAAGCACTAGCTCTCTTTTACGTGTAACTTATGCAAAGTAGAGTTATTGTCTTACATTTCTGTTTGAGCGTTTAATTAGGATGAACCGATTATCACGAGCTCACAGCCACGACTTTGTGGGCGTGGATAAAGCCCCCTGATCTCTGAACTCGCCTCAGCATTAAATGCACCACTCCTTTAGCGACTGCGGCGCTGTTACCATCTCTGTGTGCGTTCTCGTTTTCTGCTAGTGGCGAAAAACGGCGATGTTTGCATCTCCATCCTGCACGAACCCGGTGAGGACAAGTACGGCTACGAGAAGCCCGAGGAGCGCTGGCTACCGATCCACACGGTGGAAACCATCATGATCAGCGTTATCTCCATGCTAGCAGACCCCAACGGAGACTCTCCTGCCAACGTGGACGCGGCGGTGAGTTAGAGCAAGATCAGGATGTAATTCATTTGCAGGGGCTTCGTCTTTATTTTTATTTTTTTTAACTGTGTGTTGGCTACATATAGTAATTATTTATAGACGATGTTTTATTTATTTTAATATGCATACATGTGAAGAAGGATGCAAAGGTTTCTGAGGGTATAAAAAACATGAAATGAGCTTCCTCGGTTTAGTCTGGCTTTTATAATAGAATTCAAAATAAGTGAGCTGAGTGATATGGGTCCTTCAGCGGCAAATCGCAGCCTGTCAAGGCCAAATTGAGTCTAGGTTGGCTGAAAAGGACTCATTACTTTATTCAGAGGTGCTGCCAGGAGACAGATAAAAGGCGATAGTTTAGTTCGGTTGTGCTGGGAACTTTTTGTGTGAAATGTGCGGCCGAGAATCACGCATGAGGAAGCAAAGGTTACACTAATCAGATTGGAGATAAGAGCGTGTGTTGTACCCTGCAGAAAGAGTGGAGGGAAGATCCCACAGGAGTCTTTAAGAAGAAGGTGGCACGCTGTGTACGGAGGAGTCAGGAAATGGCTTTTGACTAAGGAAGGCCTCGCTTCTGACATCACCACAGTAAGTACCATCACCTGGAAAAACTCTAACATAATGGCTCACAGTGACATGCATTAAGAAGTAAATGAGATTTGTAAAGTTAAAATCACATTTAGCTGATGTCTCTCCTGGTAAAAATCTGAGCAGTGTTTGTGCCAACACAGCCAGCGACGACAACTTGACTGAAATGTTTATTGTGCCTCAGGTTGGAGCCACACAGCGGACCGGGCAGCCGGTTCCGCTGGAGCCAGCTGGAGGACAGTTGGCAGAACTGGTCAGCGATGAAGAAACACAGGAAAATGTTTAAAAATGAATATTTTCATACCGTTGGCTGTGTTTCTGTGCAGCTAATTATTTCTCTATTAGTTTTTTTTTTCTCTCTTGCAGTTTGACAGATGTTGTTTATATTTATGAATATTGCAGAATGGCATTCATGCTGCCAAGGCTACAATTTTCCATCATACCATTACTCAAAACACTGGGCAATCAACATTTCAATTATACAGCCTATTACTTCTTCTGTGTTGTGTATATACCCACCAGATTCTTGGGAGAAAAAAAATCTCCTCTTGATAAACGCACCGTTTTTCTAAAGTTAGTTTACTTCCTATTTACCTATTTATTTAGAGTGAAGCTATTTTATGATGCACATTGTGTGGGTTTTTTTTTCTCTCTCTTCTTATTTTCAGCCTGCCACACTGAGCCATTCAGATACGCTCGTATCACTAATTATGCAATTTTGTCATTAAAGTGATGGAAATACAGACTTAATTTCCTTCCCCTGTACATCCTAAGTGCTCTTCTTCCCTCAAGTGAGAAACTAATAACTCAGCACTGCCTTAACTTTGAGTGCCAGGAAAGGAAATTTGTCTTCAGTCAGGACTGCGTCTGAAAGCTTGTTTTTAATCCAGAAAAACACAAAAAACTGGGGACAAACCAAAGCAAACACCAAAAAAAAAAACAAAGAAGTGTTTTTACTGAACACATGTTTTACCTTTGTAAATATGAACTGTATGTCCTTGTCATTGCACATGTAGGAAAACAATAAGCATTCTCCTGTTTGTGTGGCGGAGGAGGACGTCGTCGACACCACCCACACGAGGCTCTGTGTAGTAGCATTGTTTTTAAACAGGTATGCAGTTGTATTGACTTGAGGTAAATGGATGTTAGACGGTGAAAACAAGTAATAAAGCTCAGTGTGGACACGGTTGAGTAACTTGGTGAAATGTTTCCACTGTACCGCTTCTTAAACTGATGCTTAAAAGTCATTTAAATGATCTTCCTTCACAGCGAGTCCTTCAGCATTTAACAATCAAAACCCGAGACCACGTGACTTTCCATTCTCTCTGATTGCTTTATTGAGTTAAGCACCAGCTCAATATGATTAACATCCAGACAAGTGAAGACATTTCCTTAAACTCAGTGAGTATAAAATCTTAACACAAAAGCAAACCCACCCAACCCCACCCCCCAAAAAAAATCCATCCGTTGGAAAGAGCAGAACAGAAGCTGCAGGTCTCGAGTGGTTCACTGTCCGGGAGCCGACAGACTCTTGTTCATGAACTGCTTCTTGACGAAGCACACCCACCACTGGAAGAAACAAACGAGGGTTAAGAGAAGCGTCTGAAGTGTCGGCACTCAAACTACAAATCAGATTTTAACAACTGAGGAAGTTAGAAAACGCTGTGCTTCCTTTGTGAGAGACGGTGGACAAAAGCTAAAAGCCCGATCCGTTAACTCTGTGCAGGCGTCTCTTCTGCTGCTGCCCGCCTCAGTCAAGAGGAACGAACTGTAGTGATGGAAAGCTATGAATATAAAAACGTTGGGATATGAAGTGTTATTACTGCCAAAGACGGAGGAGAGGATCGCTGCTGGAACATTGTTAATCATGTAAATGAACGGATTCATTTCCCCGCTCTGCGCTTTCTGCTTATTCCTAACGTGACGAGTACGCATTAGAGCTCTTAAACTTTAAACTTGGTGCATTTAAACGGTGCGAGGTGCTCCGAGTTCTGACTGAGTGTCGAGTGATAAAAGCGACACTCGATGTTCTAATCTGCGTCTGTCAGCCTGACCCCAGATAAGCAGAAGAAAACAGATGGATGTTCTATTATCTGCAGCGTGGCGCCGACTAAAAACTAGGAGCGAGCACGATAACGTATTTGTGCGTTTCCTGTTTCAGCAGACAGTCTGCGCTGCTGCAGCTGCATCGCTTCATCACTAACGTACGGCGCAACAGATGTGCTCTGTCAGCTCATAGAGAACATCATCAGGATGAGAAGCAGTGAAAGGGGGGCGCTTCTTACAGCCTAGAACAGGGGTGTCCAATCCTATTCCTGGAGGGCCACAGTCCTGCAGGTTTTAGATGTTTCCCTCTTCCAGCACACCTGATTCAAATGATCAGCTCATCATCAAGCTCTGCAGAAGCCAGATAACGATCCTGATCATTTGAATCAGGTGTGTTGGAAGAGGGACACATCTAAAACATGCAGGACTGTGGTCCTCCAGGACCAGGATTGGAGACCACTGGCCTAGAACCTCCTCTGGAGCAGGTTAGCTGATGTTGCCGGGTTAAAACGGACGTCTGGCTTTAAGGTCAACCCACATGGCTAACTCAGTGACGTCACTGTGTAGTAGAGCTGCCTGTGCTCTATGATGACACACAGTTTCTGGTGCAGACGGTGACTCACGAGTAGCTGCTGACCCTCATGGTTTCACTTCCTCAGCTATTTAGGTCTTATTTCATCGTGCGACTAAAACCACGTCAGTAAATGTGAGGCAGGTAGGACAAACCCACCTTAGTTTTCATGTTTTAAGAGCAGAATTGCAGATTTTTTTGCTGCTGTCGTGGATGTGTTTGACTCACCTTGCTGGGTTTGTCTGTTTGGGGGTCAAACACGCGATCACATAGCCTCAAACCCGTCTCCTGGCGGATCTGCTGCAGGTACGCCCTCATGGTCTCTGAAAAAGGTCAAACGGACATCATCGCTGTGGTCACACCATCAGCTACTGTTTAACAGGAGACGATTATAAGAGAAGTGTAAAAGAATACTGGAGCATTTAGAAGAAAAGGAGGCCTCGGGCATTGTTTTAATTATTGACCGCCGGTGTTTTCTTGTCTCTACAACAATAAGGACCCAGAGTTGTTCTGAGGAGTAAAGGGACAGTTACAGGATTCACTCTGAGGGCGACTTGTGTAGCTTCAGTTAAAATGACTCCACATGCTGAAGAGAGATCAAAAACCCAGGTGTGGATACTGCGTAAGAACTAGTTTGAGGGACGCCACGCGAGCATGAAACAGCATTTTCCCTCCCTGGTCAGCGCCGCTATTTTTGTCTTGATGTTACTACGGGGAATTGGCTGAAACATAAGACGGGTACAAAGAAACTGGCGCTAATTCAGAGAGCAGCGAAGTGAAGCAGCATCTGATGATTCAGTGCTACAAACCTATAAATGTGGTGGAATGTTAAAGGTATGTTTTTTGCTTTTCGGTATCCTCCAGATACATACATGTGCTAGCTTATAGCGTAGATTCTTACCTTCCTCCTGCTTGTTTGCAGGTTTAGCATACATAGCATTAAGAGGGAAGCCAGGTTCTCCAGGAATGGGGAAGTTAGTGATGCCCAAAGTGTACATCTCCTTCTCACCCTGGCTCCTGGAGCTGCACTGTAAGGAGCAGCAACAACGCAGAGTTCACATCTAGCATTGATTTAAACAGGCATTCACGCTACTAGTTTAGAGCATTGTTCATTTTTGTTACTCAGGTTTTATTTTGTGAAACCAGCAGAGAGAACAAATGTCACACGCTGCTAATTCTGCACAGAAACAAATGTTCAGTTTACCTTCTGTAGCCTCTTTAGGCATTCAGAAATGTAGAGTGTGACGTAGATCAGCGTCCTGTCGGCCTCGTTCTGAAAGGAACACAAACATTACTGGATGTATTTTGTCTAAAAGCACTGACGGTACGGTGATTTGTACAACACAAGTCAGGTCAGAAAAAGCAAAAAGGCTGAACAGTTTAGATCCTGAACAACTATGAGAGGATTGCATAGCTGACGGGGACGAGAGGAAGCAAGTCAGGGCATGTGGAGGAACAAACAGCACAGCAGAGAGAGAGAACGGTGAGGAAAAGCCAACACGTACAGGAACGATAGACAGATACATGTATGTCGCCTTCTTTTCTTATTTTTGTTCAACCAGTACAGGTGAGGAAATGTTGAGAAGCTGGATTTTGTTAAATGGAAACATATTTAAACTAGTTTCTTGTTCAACTCTGTCTGATTTTGTACATTCATGCAGTCACAGTGAGTTGAAGTGATAAATTTAGCAAGTTCTAGAAACGCGACTTCCTTAAAATATGTTGGTTAAATGAAGGACGCTCGCAAGCAAGAAGTACAGACAACAACAGACTTCTTACCTTGATTTCATAGTTTTTAAAGAAGACGTTGGCCTTGAAGTAGTAGATAGCCTCGTCGATGATGTCAGAATCGATGCCTGAAGTGAAAGAAAATCAAGTTGGTGGTGCAGCTCGTTTAAAACAACAGCTGTGCAAAAGTGCTTTGCAGCAGGAGAAAGGATTGGTGTTAGGAATTAACCTGGCAAAGTCAAATGTGGGGTTAAAGCCCGACAGTGTTACTCACTGTGTAAAATTACCTGAGTAACTTAGATATTATGGATTAAAACTACACAAAAATTACATAGGATACCACTTTACCCGACTTTATTAAATATGTCAGCTGATAACCTGCAGTTTTGTTAATTAAGGAGATTAATCTGACTCATTTTGAACCCATGAAACTCTAGGATTTCCTGGATTCCTTCTGAACAAGCTCTGTGTCAATAAAATGTAGAAATAAAAGCAGGGCTCTCAATGAAACACACATGATGAATTCAAGTATTTGCATTTTTATTTGTCAGTGTCGAGTGTGGTTTCCTGTTTGGGTCGTGCACACCTTTATTACCAGTAAAGTTCTATGTTTGATTTGCAGTACAGGCTGATGGGAAACAACCACCTCAGCAGATGAGCCAAAAAGAAATGTATGCAATCACACCAAATTGCATGTTTTCTTGATTCTTTATATAATAATGCAAAATCTATGTGTTTATTTCCAGACAAATAAAAGCTGGATGTGTCAACACACAATAATGAAGAAGTTAAAGTGGAGGATGCTCTTCAGACCATATAAGGAAGTGAAGCTGATGCAGGAACTGAACATTTGAAGGTAGGAAACCTGCACAAACCTGACTTATGCCAGTAAAAACTAAGCATATTTTCAGGTTTTTTGTTACGTGTGTGCACTCTGGAGTCACTGCACGGATCGTACACTCTTACCATCTCCTCTGGCTGGTCCTTTAAACTGAGTTTTGAGGGGCAGCAAAGCCATGTTCCCCACCAGTCTGGTTTCGGGGATCATCAGGCTCGAGTGATACGCCTGAAAGCCACAAGAAAAAGTTGCTGTCACCTATTTTATCAATGCTAACACTTAGCAGCAGCGGCATCCCTGCTACCGTTAGCCGATGCTTAGCGATGCTGGATTATATATTTAATGGATAATATGCTTAAAAATAATAAAAATCAAGTGACAGGGTGGAATGCGTGATTTGTAGCAGCTCAACCATCGCTAAAATGCGAGCTAACGCAGCTAGCCGACTATGCTAACGAGAGCCGTCATCAAAGCTAACTCGGAGGCCCTTCCGTCACTCAATTGGACTTTCTGCGCGAATCTATTTGCCCCAAATCGCACAATAAACGTTTTTTCGGCCGCCAATAATCGTGTAGAGTGTACTCACCGGCATGTTGAATGATAAATATCAGTCCAACTGCTCAGCGAAAGAAGAACAGTGGCACCGACGGACGCTGCTTCCTGTTTCCACCCTTCAGCTTTCAGGAAGCGGCCGCGTGTCGTGCAGCGTTGCAGCCACTAGGGGGCGCCGACGCGGTTTGATCCAAAGAGACAGACGAGTTGTGTATTTTTTTATTTTTTATTTTTTGTCATATTTTATTTAAAAATATATCATTAATAATAAATGCATTTCATAACAACTTTTTTTTAATATTTTCTTAAAAATAACGAAACAAGGATGGGTTGAATCACAACAGAAGGAAAACTTTATACACAAACATTCATGACAGCCATTTTTTTTTCTCCACACACGTCCATTCATCAGCATCCATATGCATATAGAACTTTTTCTTCAGCCTTCATGTTAGCCCTCAGCTGCTTGCTTTGTCTTGAAAAATCTCATCGTAATTTAGGTTAGCGGGTTCTTCATCCAACTCCTGCAGAAACAGCAAAGAAGAGATTCAAAGAACTTTATTTGTCGTGCCAGCTCACATTCACATGTTTGTGGTACAAAATGAGTAGTCAGGTCCTGTTTTGTTTTAAAGAAAAAGCCTAATAACTAATAAGTACAATAAAACAAGAGCAAAATATACGTAAAAATACAGCAACATAAACATTAAAGTAGAAAAGCCACAATTAGTTGTGTTTAGCCTAAATATTAGTGTAGCAGCAACATAGATTGTGATATTGCACTTAAAATATTGCACATACATGGCTAAAGTGTTTCATGGTGATGCATTGTGATGTTACATCCAGCTCTGGTATGCTTGTGTTTTTTACCTTTGGCTCCTTGAACTCCAGGTCCTCTCCGTACTGTATGGAGAAGTCAATGTGCTGCAGCACTATGTTGACGCCTTCTTCATCTGTGCGGTCAAACGGGAGGAATCTCACCATACTGTAGTCGTCAATCTGGACACACAGACAGACACGTTATCAAACGACCTGATCCAGAATCAAAATGCAGTTCAAAATCAAGGACTTCACTCACCAGACCGCAAATAGCTTTGGTTAGCTTCTTGAATTTTGAACTTCTGATGGTATCGGAGTTATCTTCCATCATTGAGTACATGTCTGGGTCCAGGTACCTCGTGGAAATAGAAAGGAAATCATGGAATAATTCTTGCAGAGGGATGAATTAAGACTTCCCTCTTCACCTTGCAGTCACGATAACCTGTCATTTACTTTGGTCTTAGGAGCACCTTTTAGGGGAATGACTGCTGTAGGTTTCATACAACACATGTAACTCTGCTGTAACTTACTTTTCAATTTCCTTCTTGGCTTTAGGACTTAGCAGGTCCATTTTTGTCATGATGTTTACTTGAGGAATCTCTAAGGACACCATGGCACTCAGGGCAGCCATGACTCCTGAGATAAACTACATAGAGAGACAAGTGAAAGACGTGAGACTTTGAGTTTATTTGCGATTATTGCTCCATTTACACGCAACAAGGAGACAAAGATTTTTGAGAGATTGTTACCTTAAAAGACTCGACCATGAACTGTGAGTCCACCAGAAAGACCCCACACACCCGAAACTCCCACTGCTGGAGCTGCTCCACCAGCTGCTTCATCACGGGGAGGTGGGTGTAAAGCTCAATCTGACCTGGAAAAAGAAGCCTCATGTCAAAATTGTTGTATGAGGTGCACTTTTCAAGAGTTATTCTGCCTCAGAATCGGCCTTTGGGTGGTGATATACGACAGCACGCGTGATCAGTCTACATGCATTAAAGGCAATGAATCTGTGTTACATATTTTTGGCAGAATATGTGGATTTTCCTGCTATTTCTGACTATTTGATAAACTAAACTGTCCGTTATGCTTGAGCAAATTGAAACTGAAATTGAAAAAATATGCTAATTTGAATTTTCTCCAGCATAATGATCATACAACAAAAGTAAACGTGTTTCTGTATTGTCTATGTACAGTGGTGATATGAGTAAAACTGACACAGAACAGTTGCCATCTCATTTCAGTCCCTATCACATCTCGAATTTCCACATTTTGGGCCATACCTCAGTACAAAGAGAAAATGGACTAAGCGTGTCTCCAATGTGGGCATCTTACCTGGACAGTCAAACAATATGTAATCATCTTCAACGTGACCCAAGCTTTCCTCCAGCCAGTCAAAGTTGTTGGCAAAGTACTCCATGCAGAAGACCAGGCCTCCGTTAGGGCCAAACCTGAGAGAATCGTCCTCCATCACGTCATCCACCTGGATGAGCTCACGGATGTCTGGGAAGACAGAAACAGGAAGCTTGTCATTTAGTTCAACAGACGGGTGACAAATTAAAGGAAAAACCAATATGAAGCGCCTCAGTGTGGACACTGTGGAAACAACTTATTGATTTACAGTTTTCTTTCCCTCTGAGGGGATAAACGAACCCAACCACGGCAGCAACCATACACCATAACACCTGATCATCTCACTGTAGGGGTCAAAGGTTATGTTGTGTCTTTTTATTCATCACCTGTTTGTAAGTATACAAAATGTAATAGCATATAATAAGAGATTCAAAACATTTTTCTCTCCTTCTAGCCACAAAACACAGAAGGAGTAGTATTTTGTATCAACAAACTACAGAAAATGCTGCTAAATAATATTAAATAATAACAAACTTTACTTCTATAGCAGCTTTCAGAAATGAAGTCACGAGATACTTTACAAAAAATACACAAAACTTAAGATCAAATATTAAAAGAAATAAAACATAAGTAAAGACAGAGAATCAGAGAGAGAAGTTACACCAACGCTCGTCTGTTCAGGTGGATTTTAAAAGCTTTTTAAACCGAGGCGTTGTTCTGACGGTACAGTGGAGCTTGATCCACGGTGACGGGGTTAAGACACTGAAAGCACAGTCCTCCTTTATTTTCAGCCTGGACTGTGGGGTGGTTAACAGTAACTGGTATTCAGATCTCAAGACAGAAGATGGTGTCAAGAGTCCAGAGACTGAGGCCAGATCACTCAATAGCAACCCCCTTCACAGAGTTTCATTGTTTTAATTAGACCTGAAACACAATCTAGACCCAGTATAAGTATATAAGAACAGCATTTGAATATCTTCTTTTATTCTTGGGTCTTTCTTTGGTAGAACCTTTAGTTTCAGGTTCTCTATACTAAAACCCTCCTGGACCCACCTGCCATGACAGGGTAGTCAAAGTGCTCAGCTGCTGGGTCCAGGTTGACCACCTGAACGGAGCGGTTCAAGGACTCTGAGTGCTGGACCATGGTGGAGCAGTAGGTACTCTGAAACGGGACAGCACATAAACAAACAAACAAAGAACCAACTTGGTCAGTGTTGAAGACAGCACAGCCTCATGCTTTAGCTTAGCGCGTTAGCCGAATAGCATAACAAGGCACCGCAGCACGTAGAGCTGAGTAGCTGCTGGCTCACCTTCCCGCTGCCCGCCGGGCCCATCACGAGCTGAGCAAAACGAGGCATCCTGCCTCAGTTAAACTGTGTTGTTTACTCCCCTGTGTCGCTAAAGATAGCTTCTACTATCTTAGGTACTGATGCTTCAGTGCTTCTTCTTCTTTCTTCGTCGGGACATTTACCTTCGTTGTAGCGCCGCTGCTGCCTCCTACTGGACAAAGTGTGAACTGCACCTCACCACAGATACAGTAGATGGATGTAATCATCATCATCATATATATCTATGTATGTTATCAGTGGTGGAAGAAGGATTCAGATCATCTTAGTTTAGTAGGAGAAGAAAATACTCCACTACAAATAAAAGTCCTACATTCAAAACATTGCTTAAGGTAAAGGATGCAAGTTTCAAGCACCAAAAGTCAAAATATCCTACTTACTCTGAAGAAAGATGTCCCCAGTCATTCATTTATGATTAAATATGGGATTTTGGGATGATTGTTACTGCTTTATTAAAGAGAACCCAGAGAGAACCCACGCTGCACGGGGAGAACATGGAGACTCCACGTGGATCCCAGGTGTCCTCACCGGGATGCAAACCAGCGACCTTCTAGCTGCGAGGTAACGATACTAACCACCGAGCCACTTTGCAGCCCTATATTGAAATTGACGAAGTAATGTTAAATAAAAAATCAAGGAAAATCATGACATTGCTTTTAAATTGTGTTCAACAGAAATATTTTTTTAAATAAATAAATAAAAACAAGCAAACAAGCATGATGGGACCTGTAAACTAATATTTAGTTGAACAACCCTTTGAGCCAATCACTGCCATCAGGTGTTTTCTGTAACTCTCAGTCAGACTTGTGCACCTGTTGACAGGTGTTTGGATTTCACTGCTCATCAGCAAAGTGCTCTAATTTGTCCGGGACAGTTTTGTTTGTTATAATGTTCAGGTTCTCTATTCAGACATGTAGAGTGTGGTTCTTATTACCTCTACATGTCTGAATAGAGAACCTGAACATTATATTATCACTAAGAAGACATGATGAACGTTTACGAGCTAGTTTTGTTTGTTTTTTTAAATTATTCTTTTCGACCACAATTCAAGAAGCAATGTCTTATATCACTAACTATAATTTAGCAAATTTTTATTTATTATTACCTTTTTCAGTTTCTAGTTATTTCAGTGACTAATATGAATTTTGCCTTTTCTTTAATAGAAGGGTCTGAATACATTAGAGGACAAATGTAAGTATTCATGGCACAAGGATGTTAAAAACTTGAGTGAATGCATTTAGCTACACTACTGGATATAATGCTAGTATAATAATAAAGTTAAAAGCACTGCCAGATTTGTATTTATTTACTTACTATTTATTTATTGGTATTAAACTGTGCTTTAACCAACCTGCAGCTGTTTACCAGCTACCCAGTGGAGGGCGGTGTCAAACCTGGAAGCATTTTCAATTGACAAAAGGAAATAATAAGAAGAAGGAGGAGTGGGAGGAAGAAGTGTGGCATCAAAGTGAAACAGCAGCATCAGCATGCAAAGCAAGAAGCACCACCACGTCGTGACTTCACTGAACCTCTAAGATCTGGCAGTAAGATGTCGCGATAGAGTGAATGGAGGCGACGAGCCCAGCCTGACTCCCGGGTGAAGGAGGGGACTTCTTAGTGGTAGGTGATGCAATTCTCCACGGCATGTCTTGCATTGCAGTGCATTGCAATTTACAGCCTCGGTTACGTGGACAGCATTAGCTTGATTGTGCTCTTGTGTCATCACACAGACTGCTTTGGTTGGTTTAGCCGCGGCTGCTTGGTTAGCTCGTCTAAAGCCATATTTACGACCGAGTGATAATTATCCGTTTAAGCTCAGACTTAGAGGCAAAGTCGTTGGTCGTTCATTTGTTTTTCGTGAATATACCGTAAACTGCTGCTTGTCCAACGGCTGAGGGGCTTCCGAAAGCGAAACCACACAACGGTGGCTGCCTTTCAACAGTCAGTAATATTCATAAATGTTAGCAATTTATTAGCAAGTCGAGGCTACTTTAAGCTAAAGCTAAACTTAGCTAGCAGTGAGGAGAGCTATGAGGCAGGCTGTCAGCTAGGAAAGAAAGCTAGGGAAGTAAACACAAGAGGTAAACACTTTATTATTATTATTTTTAAATTTGACCAACGTAGCGGTTTGTGACGTTAGCATTGCTAACGACAAGGCACGAATATCAACTGGTGGAGCTAACTGTTTATTTCAAGGCGTTAAGTTCGCAGCTTAAGTCGTTAAAATCTGGACGTTTTCGTATCGTGAATAACAGTAAATGACAGTAGCAGAGATAAGTTTTCATTTTGAAGTGAAAGTGGAAACTGTTGCTGGCACTAACTACTGTAAACTGAGCTGTGTGACTTTGTTTTGGGACACACGAGCTGTTGACATAACGTTCAGATTATATTTAACAGTGATAACAGACAAGCTAACGAGTGATTTAAAGCTGCCAGTTTGGGTTCTGGTACCTCAAAGGTATTATATATTAATATTTATATTGATAGTATGTGATATTCAAATAAAATAATCTCATTGCTACTGCTAATGTTTATTTCATCCATCCATCATCTCTACACCTTAATCCTCACTGGGGTCATGGGGGGCTGGAGTCTATCCCAGCTGGCTCAGGGTGAAGGCAGGTTCACCTGGACAGGTAACCAGTCTATCACAGGGCTACACTTAGAGACAGACAACCAAGCACACTCACATTCACACCTATGAACAATTTAGAATCACCACTTAACCTCAACATGTTTCTGGACTGTGGGAGGAAGCCGGAGAACCCGGAGAGAACCCACGCTGCACGGGGATAACATGGAGACTCCACGCAGAAAGATCTCGAGTGTCCTCACCTTGTAGCTGCGAGGCAACAGTGCTAACCACCGAGCCACCTTGCAGCCTGCTGATATATTTTTTTTAATTTATGTTTTCCATAGCAAAGGATTAGAAACAGAGCAGAACCCGGTGAAAACGCTAAACTCCTTGTTTCTCTGTTTCCCAGACCTGTAGGCTATGAGTGTGGGTGATGGAGGACAATCAATGTGGGGACGTGGACTACCTGATCCAAGATGAGGACACCCTCATCGAGGGAGTCAGCAACCAGGTCTTGTTCGTTGTAGTGCTCAGCATCACCTTCCTTGCCGGCCTCCTCACTCTACTTTGCAGGTAAATCATTTTGGTAAAGAGACAAAGTTTAGGAGATGCTCACAACTTTCTCTACTTAAAATGAAAGTACTGTACTCGCCATTTCACTCACAGCTGTGGCTCTTTATCCTCAGAACAGGATCAGAATCATACATGTATGACTATTTTCCCTGTCGGTGCTGCTGTACAATACTATTGCTTGTCAGTGTAGGCAGTACTGAACACGTTGACACTTTCCAGCTGGCTAATCAAAGCCAGATAGTGATGCAGTGATTCAAACTTTGCAGAAATATGTTGCATTGACAGCTGTGCTGGTGCTTGTTTCACAGTTTCAGCTGAGGAATATTGTCACATTTCTGTCTTATGACCTTTGCAGACAGGAGCAGCATACCATCCATCCTGAGAATCAGGAGCACGTGCGAGCTGTCCGACAACAGCTCCAAACAGAGCAGGTGAGAAGGCAGCTCGAGCATTTCTTGCCAAATACAGTTGGCCAAGATTATATATAAAAAACATCAAATCTGTGCTGTTTTCAAGGGCCTCCAGAGGCATCACAAATAATAGATTTAATAGTTTATTTTACAGGCTATTATCCCGTCCATATGTTAGGTGAACTAAAGGGAATTTAGTTTTAGAACTCTGAAATATTTTCGCTAGGGGGAGGGAACAAAGACAAAACCTGTACGTTGCCAAACCAACAGAGGAAGCAAACAGGCTGCCAAATTTACATATTGCTTGTTTTTTTAAAAATGGCATAAATAATATACTTTTCAAGCAATTATCAAGCTGATAGCACATCACACTTCCTAAACTTTCATTTGTGTTTTTGACTTTTTATGTCTTCGATCTGTTTGGCAGGATGAAAATCCTCAGCCTGAGGCCCGGCAGCAGTATTACACAGACATGTCTTGCCCGGTGTGTCTACAGCAGGCTGTTCTGCCCGTGGAAACCAACTGTGGACATCTTTTCTGTGGTAAGGCTGCTGTACAGGTTCCAGTATTATGCAATCAGCAGAGCAAATCAGTTCGGTCTTGGAACTGTGAGAAAATGGCGAAGAAGAAGCAGAAGAAGCACATCGCTGACATTCTTAATGTTTTTGTATGTGTAAAGGTCACATCTGTGATCTGCTCTGGTGACTCATGTAAACTGAACTGGCTTAGCTCTGAAATACAAGTGCAAAATTGTAATAAACATAGATTCAAGTTGAAAACATGAATAGAAGCTTATTTACGAGAGTTTGCATTTTAGTTGTTTGTACTTTTTTATACCTAAGCTGTTCTCATGTTCTGTTTTCCTTGTTCCTACATAGGCTCCTGTATTATAGCCTACTGGAGGTTTGGCACCTGGCTCGGTGCTATTAACTGCCCCATCTGCAGACAAATGGTGAGACTTGTTGGACATGCTGAACTGTCACACTGAGCTTTGGTTATTACTCATTTTTGTGCCAGACTTAGCGGTCCCTGATCCTGTTCTCCCTGATGGATCATTCACACATGTGGATTCAAAAAGCTGTGATAGACCGTGCTTCGCTGTCCTGCTCACCCCTCCTGAGCTTTAGGGATGTGAAAATGCTAGAAAGCTGAGGAAGGCTCTGTTTTATATAAATTATGTTTGTCACTAGACCTAAGCTGAACAACACCAGGCCCAGGATCCTTCCCAGTGCAGATACAGCATCAAAATGCCAGTCAGACCTGAAAACTTTAGAGCCATTGTTGTATTAAAACACTATTGTTTATATATAGTGTAGTATAGTACAGTATAGTATAGTATAGTATAGTATAGTAGTTTGGCAGCTGTATCACCCTCCAGTTGGAGAGTCATGAATTGCATGCTGAAGAGAACACAACAGATTCATGAGAAGCCACATACCACCCACTGCTTTCTATCTATATGTGTGAATGCAGCGTAAATACCCTCAGGCTGTGTGTAACCTTTTTGCTGTTTCTATTAAAGTTATTGAAAAGGATCGTAAGAAATATTTGCGTCATTAACAGTGTCAGTAGGGTTCCTCACCCCACCTGCGAGGACCCGTATTGATTTTTTCGTCCCCACCCTTTCCCAGGTAACGTTGCTCTTCCCACTGTTCCATGAGCACGCTACTCCTCAGCGGGTGCAGGATGGTGAGGCTGAACCTCAGCTCATACTGAGGGACATCAACGATTACAACCGCAGGTTCTCCGGCCAGCCGAGATCTGTGAGTACACGTCGTTTAGACACTTATTTTTTTAGCTGCGGTGCCCTTAACGACCTTCCAGTTGATAAAACGTGAAGATGCTGCTCGAAACCTTTTCAATGTCCTGTTATGTGTGTTATTGGGATACATTATAAGCTGTATGAGTCCTTGTGTGGATTAAAGCATGAACTTTTCTTAAGAATGTCTATAAATTGCAACACCGCCGACACACAATACATGTATGCAAATGAGATATTGACGTGTACAGAGCGTTACAATTGAGGGGAGTATATTTAGAACAGATGTTTTCATAATATTGCCTCTCCTCCCTGCCTCCCCTCAGTACATGGACAGGCTGCGCGACGTGCCCACCCTGCTTCGTCACGCCTTCAGGGAGATGTTTTCCGTAGGCGGCCTCTTCTGGATGTTCAGGATTCGGATTCTTCTCTGCCTGGTCGGCGCGATCACCTACCTGGCCTCGCCGCTGGACATCCTCCCCGAAGCACTCTTCGGTCTTTTGGGTTTCATGGATGATTTCTTTGTCATCCTGCTCCTCTTTGTGTACATTTCCATCATGTACAGAGAGGTTGTTACGCAGAGACTGAATGGCTAAGTGATCACCCGAGGAGGCTTTGGGAACATTGAACTCGGGATTGGACGTGTAAAAACAGACTAAATGTTCAGGTGGACTGTTGATCAGTGATGCTGGTTTTCTCAGAGGGCTTTACTCTGAAGCCTGGGGTGTTACTCCATCACTAAGGAAAGAAAACAACAACAACAAAGCTCTGAATGTCGATAGAATTCACCATTAATGGTTCATAGGTTGAATGAGTCAGCAACAGCCCAACGTAAGAGGATGTGTGTGAGGATGTGAAACACCCATAACTGAATGAACAGCCACTTCTTTGACAGCTCTGTTGCCAAAATCAGTCACTTTGGATAATGTGCATATCAATGTAATATAACCGTACTGTGTTGAAGGGAAAGCGTCTTGATTAAATTCATTTAATGAAGGCTGCCAACAAGAATCATCTTCCCGTGGCTATAACTGCCCGTGTGGTCAATAACACTGACTTCTGTAAGTCATCTGTAGCTATGCATATTCATCACGACTTGAAACACACAGCTCGTCGTGCTCGTGTGAGAATCCACCGAATCGTTTAACCTGCGACAGTTTACATGCGTCGATCAAATCTGATGTAATCTGAGCTAATGTTGCACAGGACAACCTAATTATTACTATGTAGTGGATTGATATTCAAGAAATGTAAAAAAAGAAAGAAGAAGCCAAACCAAAGGAAACGAGGAGTAATTACAGATCATTGTGAATGTATCTCACTCAAGCTATGAATGTGAACACTTCAGAGTTTACCTCGTCGTTCTCAAAGTAAATCAGAAGTGTGGACGTAACGCACCAGATTCTTCAGACGTCAAAGCCCCTCTTTGTTAATCTGTAAATCAGCTTTGAAGAAATGAATCTAAATTTAGTTTTGATCAAAAAATGAAATTAACGTTGTGAACAATATGTAACCAGTTGGGGTTTTTTGTAAATGTTTTTTGCACATGTTGTATTCCAAATGAAATGATTTCTGGAGCATGTAAATTGAATGAGTGTGATCTCAATGTTCAGCTGCTGGGAGCTCCGGCCGGTGCACAGTAAATATGCACTTCTCATTCTCAACCCTTTCTGTGCCTTTTAAATGAACTTTTGTTGTCTGTCGGAGCCAAAAACACCTTTTCTGGGTTAACTTGCAAATAGAATCAACCAACACAAGTAGTTGCCATCATGCACTTTCACATGGAGATCAATGCTTGGTTTTCCCTGGGTGGGTAAGATCCTTCTAAGGTTACTATGAGTCAATGTGGGGTCTTGACCCCTCAGGCTGAAAATGGATGCTCCACAGTGGTGGCTGAAACCGTGTCCAGGCCATTTGCTTTTTTAGGGGTTCGCGTTTCATGTTAATGAATATTAGATGGAGGGTTTTCGAGGCTGCAGATTTATTCTGTTCAACTGCTTTAAACCACCAAAGAAGCCGATCAGCGTCCTCGTGGAGTGTCGTACTGTAAGGCGCGGCACATGTCGATATGTGTCATACCTGTTTAATGTCTTTGCTGACTGGTGTCTCTTCCAGTTTGGCTCAGGGTGTTTGAGCAACCTCCACCCTTTTGTTTTTTAATACCAACACTAACGCCAGCGACAGCAGCGTGTGTCGTAAATGCTACAGCAGAGAACTGGTTGGGCGAGAGTCTTACCCCGGTGGGGTAATACTGCTGGAGGAGTCGGTGCTTCTGAAGCAGAACTTTTCAGCTGTTTGAAAGCATGATACTACTCATGTATGATACACACCATCAAAATACATTTTATGAATATGTAATATGATGCCAGGATTAGAATCCTAGCTGTGCATACAATCTAACACCCACACACATTTATATTGTGCATTCTGTGCCATTTTATCTGCACTTCTCTCAAGATCAGCTGTCACAAAATGCACTTGAAATTAACCTATGATGCAACCATATTAAGTTTGCTTGGATAGAGTTCATGATTACTTGTTAGTCAGGATACCTGTCATGCTTGTCGGGGCATTTGCAATTTGTGCACCTCTGACACTCCAGACAAATTGGACTAAGTACTAAGTGCTTTATCAGATGTGGCTCAACAGTATGCTTTATTCAGCAGATGCATATTCATATGATAGACTGCCTGAGTAGTGTTGTGGAAATGTATTACCTTTCTTTGCAAATAGCTGTACATATTTTTGTGGGTGTGATTTCAGAAGTGCCAGTGAATGTGCTTGGCTCAGTGGTGGTTTTGGAGCAAGCCGCAAATCAGCAAACTGGCGTATAGTCAACCAAGGGCGGGGTTCTATTCTATTGAGTTTATATTGGTTGATGTGCTTAACTTTTTTGGTTAATTCATACCTGACGTGAATATTTCCCAGATTATTATTACTTTTCAGCAGTAATGGGTATTTTCCTTTAACTGTCCCGCTAACTCCGCCCACCCAGCCCGCCTCTGGCAGACGCCGGACCAGCAAAGCAGCGAACCCGACTATTGGCTGGCGGATGGTGAGACACCCAGAGAGAGCGAGAGACCTCGGGAGTGTATGAAGCTGAGTGTTAAGTTCAGGCTCTCTTCGCCACGTAAAGTCAGCCTACGTTAGGTAACGATGAGTACATCAGAGTCCTTGGACCGAATGGAACTCTGTGAAAGCCTCTTAACATGGGTACGTAGTCAAAATAAAGGTTTTTTTCCACTGGCAGACAGTTCTCCGGCGCCGGCGGTGCTAGCTAGCATACGTGGCTAACGCTAGCTGAGGAAGCTAACGGGGGTAGCAGGCTAGAGAGGAAAATGACACGGGCTCGCACTGGTTACGTATGCAGGCCAGCTGTTTGCTGTGTTTAGCTGCTGATGTGGTTGCCACCGAGCGAACACTGTGATTTTGATTGTCGCTCCGTGCAGCCGGCCTTTTGACCTAACGTTAGCTCCGATTTCCAATGCTAAATCTGTTCCGTATGTTGTAACGGGGGGATCAAACGGTACAGACGCTGGCCTTGTTATGATTTAACGCTTCTTTGGCGAAGGCTCTTTTTTTTTCTTCTCTCCTCTGGATCGAGCATGAACCGCTCAGTGTCTGCTCTGAGGCTGAATTCCTGTCATTGTTGTCCGGTGTAGGTTATCATTACACTCGTCCTTTTCTTCCTCATTCCTTATTTGTGATCAAAAATGCCAAATACAGGATAACTTCCTGGGCTGGGATGTATAACGTTACTCCTGATCTTTCTAGTTGAAGCATGAAAACAGAGATTTCAGCTGCCAAACGGGAAAAGCCTCATAATGCAGGATCACGTGTTACCGACTGGTCTGTGTTTACATTGTTGAATGAATTTTGCGCCAAAGCGATCTGAGCATTTATCCTTATATCGTTATTTTACCTCCTCTGTGCCTAATATAATAACCAATCCAGTTGTTTTTACCTCTTGAAATAGCTTCAAAGAACCAATTCAGCTCGTTTAATGCAGTTTTCCACTTGACAAGAAGTGATTGCAGCCTCTACAGATATCACCAATCCATCAGAATGACTTGAATACATTCATGAGGGTTAAATTTAAAAAAATAAATGCAAAAGAGAGAATTTATGTATAGAACTCTTTGGTAAAT